TTACAAGTAGCCAGTTTCTTTCCTACCAGCCCTCTTATTGAAACACCACGCTTCAAAATGTCTTCCTAGTATATACTGCACAAATGTTTCTTTTGCCATATTGTCTGGGGTGTTTGGTAGATTTTCAAAGAGATGTAGCTGTAACACACACAACCCCAATTTGTTTTCAGGTGGAGCAGCCAATTATAACCCAAGGATCCTCTGTTACAAAGATAACTTTTGAGGGGCGCCAGCCACCCACAGTTACAAAGATAACTGGTGGCAGTTCTGTGCCTAAGCTGACATCACCAGTTACAAGCATATCTCCCATTCAGACCTCTGAGAAGACAGCAGTGTCAGACATTTTGAAAATGTCTTTGATGGAAGCTCAGATTGATACAAATGTAGAGCATATGGTAGTGGATCCCCCAAAGAAGGCTCTTGCCACTAGTATGCTCCCTGGTGAAGCAGGATCATCATCCTCCACCCACGTGGTGGTGACAGGGATGGCAAATTGCACTCCCCAGCAACAGAAGTGTAGAGAGTCCTGTTCAAGTCCATCTGCTGCTGGCCCTCCCCTAACAACAAGGAAAATCGATGCAGCAGTAATGCCTACAACAGGCCAGTTCATGCATATTCAGAATGTAGGCCAACAGAAAGCTGAAGAGAGCCCAGCAGAAATTATCATCCAGGTAAGAATTGGAAGGAACATGAGAACTCTTGGGCATCTTGGTTGGGGGTGGGGGTGGGGGGGTTTGGTGGGTTTTGGGATGTCATGGGAAAAGTCAAACCGAGATGGAGAAAAGGCAGATTACTTTGAGATGGTGATTGACAAATTTGGTTTAATACTTATTCAAATGTACAATTTTATACTTATTTTTTGGAAGTGAATCCCAGAAAATTGATGGACATTGTCACACAGCACACCTTAGAGACAGTCATGGGTCCTGAGCCTATATGTCAGCTTGATTTATGCAAGTCACACTTCCCAGTGTTAAATTCAATAGGTCACCCTTGAAGATTGGCAACTTCCTAGGGTCAATTTTGGGCTCCCTAATCTTTGCTCAAACTCTCCTGGGATATAATTGGATTGTACTTCTATTTCAAGTACATTTTAGGGATCCTTTCCTTGGAAAAACACAGTTTTTGAACTTGATCCAAATTTATGGTTTTTAGGATAATAAAAATTTAACTAGCCCTTGCCAGTTTGGCTTAGTGGACAGAGCATTGGCCTGCAGACTGAAGGGTCCTAGGTTCAATTCTGGTCAAGGGCATGTACCTGGGTTGTGGACACATCCCCAGTAGGGAGTGTGCAGGAGGTAGCTGATCGATGTTTCTCTCTCATCGATGTTTCTACCTCTCTATCCCTCTCCTTCCTCTCTGTAAAAAAATCAATAAAAATATATTTTAAAAAATTTAACTAACTGAAATGTCTGGAGAAACAAGTAAGAAAATTTTCTCAGTAATTTAACTTTATATCTAACTTGGGATTAACCTCAAAGTTTTGCTTTTTATTTCAATCATTATAATTGAAAAATCTTATTATGGTTACTGTCCTGTCTTGGTAAGTACAAGCTAGTGAACAAAAATCTCACATTCTCTTCATTCTAAACTCATCTTTCATCATGCATAATAGATCAAGATTTAGTTCAGACTAGTCCTTAGAAGTTGTGTTTTATTCCCTTTCCCCTTGCAGAGTACCAGGCTGTTTGACTATTGTCATTTTTTGATAAACTGATACTTGTCTCAGAAGGTATCAGAGCAACAATTTTAGTTAATTGAGAATTTTTAGATTTATGAAATGTGAATAGTCTAGGGTTTTACCATAGATTCACACTTGGCAGTTCCTGTGGTAAAGTTCCTTTTCCATGATGCCAAGCTCTGAGAGAATGCAAATTAACCAATATTAATCCAAATCCTCCTATATAATAAAAGGCTAATATGCAAATCGACCAAACGGCGAAACTACCAGTCGCTATGATGCGCACTGACTACCAGGGGTCAGACGCTCAACACAGAAGCTGCCCCCTAGTGGTCAGTGCACTCCCACAGGTGGAGCGCTGCTCAGCCAGAAGCCAGGCTCATGGCTCACGAGCACAGCGGCAGTGGTGGGAGCCTCTCCCACCTCCGCAGCAGCGCTAAGGATATACGGCTTAGGCCTGCACCCCGGGGGGAGCAGGCCTAAGCCATCAGTCGGACGTCCCCCGAGGGCTCCCAGACTGTGAGAGGGTGTAGGACGGGCTAAAGGACTCCTCCCCCCCCCCTCCCCAAGTGCATGAATTTCGTGCACCAGGCCTCTAGTACAATATAATTAAGTATGGGGGAAATGCTTAAAGACAAATAGAACTGGCCATTGAATTATTTAAATAATTTGTTTCTCCCCCTATTAAAAACAAATGTTAGTGAATTAAATAATCTTTGACAAAGGGATTTGTTGTTTTCCTCTGAAGAGGTGTAATAAAAAATGAATGGTTTCCGGCTTTGCCATTCACTGTGTGACTTTGGGCAAGGCTACTTACTTAACCTCACTGTACCTTAGTCTATTCATCAGTAAAGAAGGAATAAGGTGCGCCTATTTTACATGATTGATGTAAGGATTACATAAAATTGAGATGAAGCACCTGGCACAGTACCTGGCTCACAGTGATTGCCCAATAAATTGTAGCTAATACTATTTTTACTAAAATTTACTTTGGCTCCTGGGGGGTTAAATTGGTATACTCACTAAATTGAAAATAATTTTGGATAGCTTAATTGGAAATTATTTTCTGCACTTTCTGAACAGGGATGAAAATGCAATATATTGCATGTATCAGGATAATAGCTATTTAATAGTTTCTCTTAAGTATACTCAGCTAACTTTTAGCATGTACCATGTGCTAGATTGCTATGTTAAAGGGAAGAGCAGCATAGTGATTAAGAATCAAGCTTTTGGAGTCAGAAATACCTAGATTTGAATCTCACCTGTACTCATCAGCATTTTGGTTTTGAGCAACAAAGTTAATCTCTGCACCTCAGTTTTATCATCTATAAAATGGAAACAATGACATTCGCCTCACAGTGTTGTTTTGGGGATTAGGTCAGAAGATGTATATAAAGCAACTGGTCAAGTGTCTGAGAGATTCCATAAAAATAGCTCATGTTATTATAATTATCATTAATACATTGCTAGAACATTTTCAGATCTTATTAGTTATACTTAGCTTTGACCTGAAGTACATACTGATTTTGCTGATTCAGAAAAATACCTATGGGGATGAGTGAAGGAAGTCTGCAGAAGTGCTTTGATAGTAAATGCTTTGAATAAAAAGCATGATTCTTTGAGACAGAGGTAATGTATAGTTCGTTTACTCATTCGTTCATTCATTTGTTTGTTCATTCATTCCACATGTATTATTTAACTCTATGTTCCAGGCACTGTGCTAGGTGCTGAGATTAGAGTAGTAAACAAGATAGACTATATCTACTCTCCTGAAAGAGTCTATATATATGCAATTCGTAGAATTTTAAAACTGTAAGGATCTTTAGAATATATCTTCTTCAACTATCTTATTTTACACAAAAGCAAACTAAAGCTCAAGGAAGTGAAGTGACTTTTTCAGAGGTCCGTAGTTAGAGCCAAAGCTGAACAAAAATCCTGGTTTCCTGACTCTGAGACTTTTTCACAAGGATTAGCTATGTGAGAGGGGATGGGGAGAAGGGTGGGGGGCGGGGGGACAAACAAAAAATCTGACTACATACACATTTAAAATGTGCTTAATGATCAAATGAAAATGTCCTTCAAAGTCTGTCTCTTGAATAGGCACAGCTTTCACCTCCCTTGTTAGAAGAGGAACCATCAAGGAGTAGAAAGATTACTTTGAGTTTAATAGGACGTGGCTTTGAATCCTGACATTAACCCTGACCAACTGTGTGACTCTGATTAAGTCACTGACCCTCTTAGTTTCCTCATTTGTAAAATGGGAATAGTGTTTTCCTTTAGTGTTATTATGGGGATTTAGTAGAATATCATGTGAAAGTACCTAGCACAGTGTCTAGCGTGTAGTAATTGTCTAATAAATGTCAGATTCCTTTTTCCTTCTTTAGGGTTGTTGGAGAATCTTTCTGTTACCTTTTCTTACCATAAAGCTTCTCTCCTGTGTCTTCTCTTCCAGGCCATTCCCCAGTATGCTATTCCTTGTCACTCCAGCTCCAATGTGGTAGTAGAGCCCAGCGGGCTCCTTGAGCTAAACAACTTCACCAGTCAGCAGTTGGATGACGATGAAACAGCAATGGAGCAGGACATAGACAGTAGCACAGAGGATGGAACTGAGCCCAGTCCCTCTCAGAGTTCTGCTGAACGATCCTAGTGTTTTGGACACAGGAGTGCACTTTAAAACCTACTTGGTTACCAAGTGTCCAGGGAAGCCCTTGTATTTTGATGTGTAAAGAGAGCACTTTGCCCATGCTTAGACTCTACATCCTGCAGCAGCAGTGTTTCAACAAGAATTGATGCAGGAGAAGCATTTTAAAGCAAAATAAAACAGGGAATGTACTTTTAAAAAAGTGAAAAGAAAGAAAAAAGGAAAAAAAAAAGAAGAAAAAGAAAAAGAGATGCGCATCTACAGGGCAGGAGACCTGATATTCTTCCTCTGTTGGACCGTGGCTGATGGAAGTTTGCCTTGCAGTGGAAAGAGACTTTTTTTCTGTGAATGTTCCTCAGCTGGTTTCTACTGAGCAAAACACCATCAAAAAAGGAGAATGTGAATAGTTTGTACTTTGAAACAGTGTCAGGAACAGTTTTTTTCCCCTTTAATCTTGTATATTTTTGCAAATCCCTGGAAGGGTTGAATTAACCAATTCAACATTTTACATTTGCTCAGATCATAGTTTTTAAAATAACTAGAAAAATACTGGCATTAAAGAGTCCTTGTTGGATAATGAAAAATCAGATCCCTAACCAGTGGGAAGTGCTTTTTTTGGTGGTTTGTACATTCTCACCAATTGTATGCTAATTTATTGTGTTGTTGTTCCCTTTGTGCTCCAGGCCAGCACACTTGCCTTCTATTTATTTAAATGTAAACATTTTAAAGCAGACTATATTCCTTCTGACAAATTTCCTGTAAACCAGGATTGCCTACATTTCCACCTCCCCCCTCCCCACTTTAAGAAAACTTATAAGAAAATGTTTCATTGTGAAGCAGAGGAAAAAGAAACATTTTCTGACCCAAAGGAAATGTTCAGTTATGTTCAGGAAAACAAATTATTCATATGTTGCTATCTTTACATTGAAATTGCACATTCATGTTGGACTGAGACTTTGAAAAATCTTTTACATACTTTTGTTTAACCCCCTTTGAAATGTATAAAAGGTTCATTTACAGTTCTAAATGTAGTTTTTAAACATTCTACCTTTTTAGGACATAGTTTGTTTAAGCAATATGTTTGGGTCTTGTGACCACTGTCACAAGTAGAGTGAGGGGTAAGAGGGTGGGAGGATAAGGCAGTTTTGACAAGTTGTGGCAAAGGAAATTATACTTTTCATTTTTAAAAAATGTAAATAGAAATGTTTTTAACGGTTTTATATAGATTTCACTATAAATAAGTGTTTTAAGACTGACAAATGTTCAACTGTATATACATATATCAGCATAACTGCCCAATTTTTGGTGCTGAAGTACTGTAAGTAGAATTCATCAACAGTCTCCTGATTTTTGCATCTATATCTGGAAAGAAAAACTGTGATACTATAGTTAATAAATTCCCACTAGAGTGACATGATTTAAACACAAGCATTCATAAGATGCACTGATCTTTGGTAGTTGTCATTATTTCTGTTAAGTGATGATGACCTACCCATAGATGGAGCTGTTGGATGTTATTTTATTGTACAAATTCATGTTTAAAAGACTTTGTGACTGTTTATAGTTAAGTAATTTTTTTAACCTCCCGGGTCATAGACTTCTTTGAAAATCTGATTACACTATGAACTCTCTCACCAAAAAGATACACATGCCAATATACATGTTAGATTTTGCATATAATTTTAGGGGTTTATAGGCCCCTCATTATATCCTGTATTCCAGGTTAAGCCCTCTCTTATGGTCACTTCATTACTTGCAGGTGTAAGTTTTTATAAAATAAAATATCTTTTAAATATTTGTGGATCAGGTAACAAGAGCAAACTTGAATAAAATTATTGCGTTCTTCTATATATATTCTGGCAGTATAGCATACCTATCTCCCTTTGAGAATTTAACCTTAATGTGTTTCAGCAATTGGAATGGCAAATGAAACTTCCATAGTCTACATTTTTTAAAAATTAGTGCACAATTAACAAATTCTCAAATGAGAGTTTTAAAATTGTTTTATCTTAAAGGTGTTAATTTGAAGGGCAACATGAATTCTTTTATTCAAAAAAATGTCAATTAAGCATCTAATGTGTGCCAGGTACTATTCTAAGCCACCAGGGATACTATACTGAATAAACAGAAAATTCTACCCTCCTGGAGTTTATACAAAGGACTTTCTGCTGATGAAGTGAATGTGAGTGCTAAAGGAAGGAGGAAACAAGAAACAGGTTTCTTGATTAAGTGGATGGTGACACTATATGTGGATCTGCAGGCGTTCTTTCATTTTTATTTTTTTAAAAGATATTTTTATTGATTTCAGAGAGGAAGGGAGAGGGAAAGCGAGAAATATCAATGAGAATCATTGATCGGCTGCCTCCTGCACACCCCCTGCTGGAGTCTGAGCCCGAAACTAAGTGCTGTGATGGAGAAATTTGCAGTGCCATGATAGAAATGGGAGATTGGAGAGTCTCCCTCCTGATGGAATGCCTAAACTGCGATCTGAAGGAAGAGGTTTTAACTAGGCAAAGTGGGGGTGGGGGGAGACACTTGTCCAGGCATATGGACAGCAGGTACAAGAGCCCTATGGTGGGAGGAAAATTTTGAATAAGCTAGTGTGGCAGCAGCATGGAGAGTAAACCAGTGTGGTGGGAGCAGAAAGTACAGGCTGAATTATATGGATCCTGTGGGTTATGATAAAGGGTTGGGTCTTTATTCTAAGAACAATGAGACATCATTGAAAAGTTTTCAGGCAGTGGAGTTTGCAAAATGAATTTCCATAGTTACAAATTGTTTGGAGTTACGTGGGTTTGTTTGACATATCTTGTCGATGCCAGCCTCAACTCCTTTTGTCCTTTTCTCAAACATCTTCCGTGGTTTCCCCAATACTGTACTATGAATCAGACATACCAGTGCCTCAGCCAAAGCTTCAACCTTTGTTTCTAGATTCAAAACCATTTCACGTCCCTGATCTATTGCCTGTCTCCTTCACCACACACACATTTTATTGCTCTGCATTTAAAAGTCTCATTCTTCAAAGCCCACCTTGAATTTCCCCTCCCCCAAAACTTCCCAGGTCTCTTCAATGAGGACATCCCACCCCATTGCTGGGTTCCTCTAGCATTTGGGGATAAACGTATTTACTTAGCGCTCACCATTAATAACCTACTGCAAATTATTTGCATTGCATAACGGTGCTCTGTATAGGCAAGGATTCGCTTTTTTGTTTTTGTTTTTAAGTCACCCAATTTCTTGTATAACTAGAGGCCCAGTCCACAGATTCGTGCACCAATGGGATCCCTTGGCCTGGCCTGCACCCTCTCACAATCTGGGACTCCTCAGGGGATGTTGGACTGCTGGTTTTGGCCGGATCCCCACAGGACAGGCCAAAGGACCCCAGTAGTGTACGAATCCATGCACCAGGCCTCTAATAGGCATATAAGATCTTTGGGTAATCTCTTCCCCCCCTCCCCACTTCCCTCTGATAGTCGTCAGTCTGGTCCATGTTTCCATGCTTGTCTGTTAAGTGTCTACCCCCTGGTGGTCAGTGCGCATCATAGCTACCGGTCGAACAGTCACTTAGATACATATATATATATGACTAGAGGCCTGGTGCATGAATTCATGCACCAGGCCTCTAATAGGCATATAAGATCTTTGGGTAATCTCTTCCCCCCCTCCCCACTTCCCTCTGATAGTCGTCAGTCTGGTCCATGTTTCCATGCTTGTCTGTTAAGTGTCTACCCCCTGGTGGTCAGTGCGCATCATAGCTACCGGTCGAACAGTCACTTAGATACATATATATATATGACTAGAGGCCTGGTGCATGAATTCATGCACCAGGCCTCTAATAGGCATATAAGATCTTTGGGTAATCTCTTCCCCCCCTCCCCACTTCCCTCTGATAGTCGTCAGTCTGGTCCATGTTTCCATGCTTGTCTGTTAAGTGTCTACCCCCTGGTGGTCAGTGTGCATCATAACGACTGGTTGACCAGTCATTCGCTCACTTAGGCTTTTATATAAATAAACTAGAGGCCTGATGCACAAAATTCATGCAAGGGGCTTGACCCTCGCAGTTACGGCAGCTTGCCTCGACCCTTGCAGCCGTGGCGGCTTCCCTCGCAGTCCCAGCTTAGTCCGGAAGGTCGTCCGGAAGGAAGTTCGGCTGCCCAGTTTAGTTAGCATATTATGCTTTTATTATTATAGATATCTGGTAGGAATTCCTTATGTACACTGTCACAATGTGAGGGTTCCTTTGCAATTCCCCATAATGTGCCTATCAGTGAGTCCTTGAAATTCAACATGCTAGGGAGTTACTCTAAAAAATTCTTCCAGGCCCCAAAATTCTTCCAGTTTGGTTCAGTGGATGGAGCGTCGGCCTGTGGACTGAAGGGTCCCAGGTTCGATTCCAGTCAAGGACATGTACCTTGGTTGCGGGCATATCCCCAGTGGGGAGTGTGCGGGAGGCAACTGATCGATGTTTCTCTCTCATTGAAGTTTCTGACTATCCCTCTCCCTTCCTCCTGTAAAAAAAACACACAATAAAATATGTTTTTTAAAAATCAGTCTAAAGTGAGAGGTGCTGAGTTTCTCTATTTTTTTATGCCCTTGCATCTTAAGGTTTAATATTCAAGGTAGTTAGAATTTAGTGAGATCATTGATGATCTTGGTAGGTAGGATTCACTCATTTAGTCAATAATATTATATTTGGCTCTTCATGGATCAGCTGCTTTCCCCTGATGGTACAGTTCACCAGGGTTTGTACTCAACCTACATCCCTCTTACTCTCTGCAGTATTCCTGAAGCTATCATTTATACTATGGCTTTAAACTCCACCTGTACATGGGTTAAATCATTGTATATTTGTTGAGCAGTTATTCTGTTCGAGGGACTGTTCTAGCCACTAGGATAGCCAGCAGCAAACAAAATCGGGGTTGGGGTGGTGGTGGGGGGAGACTTCTTCTCTATGTAGTTTACATTTCAAAATGGCTATAAATATATATTTAAAAATATATAGTATCTTAGTGATAATAATGAGAAAAAATAGAGGAGAATATGGAATTCCAGGGTCTATCTATGGGTGTGTGTGAAGTTTTAGATAGGATAAATAGGGAAGAACTCACATGAAGGTGACTTGAAAAATATCTGAAGGAAATGAGCAAGTTAGCCAGGCTGATGTCTCTAGGAAGTGTTCGAGGTGGAGGAATAGCAAGTGCAAAGGCCCTGAGATGTGTGTCTGGCATGTTCAAAGAACAGTAAGTAAGTGGATTGATTTTCTTATGTTGAACTATTCTTGCATTCCTGTTATACCAGGTAAATCCCATATGGTTGTGGTGTATAATCCTCTTAATATGCCGTTGGATTCAATTTGCTAGTATTTCGTTGAGCATTCTTGTATCTATATTTATGAAGGATATTGGTCTATAATTTTCTTGTTATGTTTTTGGTATCAAGGTAATTCTGGTCTCATCAAATGAGTTAAGAAGTGTTTTATTTTTTGAAAGCATTTGTGAAGGATTGGTATTAATTCTTTAAATGGTGGGATTCACCAGTAAAACTATCTATCTGGTCCTGGTAATTTTCTTTTTTGGGAGGTTTTGGATT